GGAGCCATTTTTGACAGGTACATCTACGGGAAAAGAAAATTGACAGCATACTCAAATGCACTGCTTGTCTAATGTTTTACATATGTCTAGTGTCTGCCTAATAAGTGCTTTTATTTAACACAGGGAGAGTGTGCAGAGTGCAGAGGTCGGCGCCATATTCGACAGGTAATTTTACACTTTTATAATATTAATGAGTATGTTTTGAAGTCAGTAGTGTAATTTTCTCATCTTGTATTGTATGTTACACTGAAACTGTGTCATTATTTAGGGTCCTTACCGAGCTTGTCAATAAAATGAGAGATATGCAAATGGATAAAACAGAGCTGGGTTGCCTCCGAGCCATCGTCCTCTTCAACCCAGGTGCCTGTACAATGCTAACATATCGAAATAAGAGAGATTCAACATTTTATTCATAAAGTAGGATGCGTCTTTCGGTGTCTTGACCCTAATGAAAAGATATTTTCCTGCAGATGCTAAAGGGCTCTCCAACACCAGTGAGGTGGAGCTCCTTAGAGAAAAGGTCTATGCATCATTGGAAGCCTACTGCAAACAGAGATACCCAGAGCAGCAGGGAAGGTAGGAGCTACGATGAGCTTAGCATAGTCTTGTTTTTTTACTCCGCTGCACTGATTTCACAATTTCATTGGTGGATCCTTCATCTTGTCAAACCAAATGCCATCCTCTCTGCCCCATGCAGGTTTGCGAAGCTCCTTCTTCGACTGCCAGCACTGCGATCCATCGGCTTGAAGTGCTTGGAGCATCTCTTCTTCTTCAAGCTGATCGGTGACACACCTATTGACACTTTCCTAATGGAAATGCTTGAAGCTCCCCATCAGTTGTCTTAGATAGGAAACGCGTACTGTGGTTAGGTTTAGATAGCTGAAGTCTGGGAAGCTGGAGTGGGACTGGAGTGGCACTTTAAGTTCTTTGAAGATTTGTCAATTTGTCTCACTGCTGTCTGGGTTACACTATTTTAGTGCAGCACAGATTTGCTCTTTAGACCAAACCCAAGGCTTGGCATGATCTACAAGCTGGTGCTATATGTTCAAATAACTTCATGAGTAACTGGTTTAAAAAAAAAAAAAAGAAGGTATTTTTAAAAATGTAAACATTTACATATTTCCTTCACAGGAGCTATAATTTGGGTATACATTTTTATATAAGCTTTTTAGACACCTCAAACATTACGCTTCAGTTGTTCTCCAACTGAACCTATCCCTAAAACCTGTTTTTTAAAAGGAAGGCAACCTGAATCATGAATATGAATTAAGGACGGAGTCTTCTTTTTATTATTTCTAATTCAAGCCAGATCTAAAAGTACATTATTGTACCAAACAGTCACCGGGAACTGTGTCCAAAAACAGCTCTGAGTTTACTTGTATCCATTGCAGAAGATTAAATCTTAACCGTGAACCTGAGATAGAAGACAAGTCAGCAGCTGAAACTGTCTGGTCTGACTTGTCTGTGTTGATTGAGGATCAGCTTTATGTGTGTGGTAATATACAGTTAGTGTTGTTTACTTCTTTGCCATTTTATAAATTTAATCACTTTGTGGTTAACGATTAAACTGCACTGCACACTTGCTATGTACTATTTCTAAAACATACTTTCAATAAACGCCTGGCCTGTAAATAGTCAGGCGTTTGTCTTTTGGTGCTATTTCAGAGATAATTTGACATTATTGGTGCAGATGCACACCAAACCACAAACCTAAGAAAATATGCAAAACTGAAAATCCCTTTGTTAATCTTTGTTAAAAATGTAGCAATATAAAATATAAACTGCATAAGAGCTTTCTGCCTGTCAGTCATTCAGGGGTTTTACAAAGTAAATCATGTCTGGTGGAAAGGGAATACTCCATTTTGTAATTTATCTATACAATTTTGAGGTACTGTGCAAAAGTAATTGTTCAGGGAAAATGTACATTGATAAATTTGAATTATGATCAGGAGATACAAATTATATAATTCTTAACATGTGCCCTTGTTTTTAGTTTTCCGCTAGTATAAAGCAGAACATGTCTTGGGTTGCACTGGATTTGCTGAGACTGTTTCAGCTGATTTTTATTTTTTGTGCTTTTTTTTTTTTTTTTGATGCTCAGTTGTATTTTCCTACCTTCCCCTCCCCCCCTTTTTTAGGTAGATGTCTTGTTCATCGTAATGTCTCTGCAATTTATTAAAAGCAAACCATAATCACATTTAGATCCATAACACCTGTGGACATATAGGAATTTTAAGCAAGACCAAATGAGGTCTGTATGACTGCCATGTGTACCACCAGATGAGCTGTATTGGCAAGCTTGGCATCGACCTCTATGTGCTCTTGAACATAAAGTGACTTGAAGCATGGGTTGTGTGGACTGAAAATAAAGAGGCTTAAGTTTTTTTCGTTTGCTTTTTCTTTCCAAAAAGTGTTAGACTTGACAGATATTTTTCCCTGGAGGAAACTCAGATTTTGGGGCAAAACAACACAATTGAAAGATGATTCAAAATAAAAAATTGTCAAACGATGTTTTAATGAGCCTTTTTATTGTAGTTGTTACATAGTTTTTGCTGTGGGCATAGACGCAATAGAAGCCTTGTTCCACAGTGATGTTATGGCACAGGCAGCAATGTGTGTCGTGGGCTAATGTTAAATTAAAAGAAGAAAACGTTGAGTGCAATGAAATCAAAGGCTTCTAAGGGGATTCCACAGGATTAGCTGGTGAATTTCATCACTGCGTGTTTCACCACATTTGTTCACTTTACAGTCTGTGAAGTAAAAAGGTTTAATAACACGCACACAAACCCTACAGCTCCGAGAACCAAAGTGAACCTCCCTTTGTATCAAGCAGAAGTGACACCTTTTTAAACCATGCATGGCTTGGTTTGCTTAAATTATATTTAGAATAATACTGCTTTTAGTCTATAATACACTATTCTACACGTGGAGCAAAAAAACAGAAACAAAGAACAAACAGACATTGTCATGACATGTACATCATTTTACAGCACCCCCCCATATTACTACGCATCTGTTCTTTCTTGGTTTTGACAAAAATCAGTACAATCTGGGAAACACAATGAGTCTCCCCCCCCATAACTACTAAGTTGCATGCTACACATTGAGTCTAAGGTGCTGAATTGGTTTCAGTAAATTCTAAACATAAAAAAAAAAAAAAAATGGTACTGCTGATGTGGTTTTATGTAGCTTTATCATGATCACGTTGTGCTAGATTCTTGTTTTCTTTCAATGGCTATGTTCCATCACAGTGAAAATTTGCTAGTGGATAGATTTACCTTTCCGTGATACAAACTGAAGTTATGCATGTTATACATTTAGCAAAGGCCATTCCAAAATAATTAATAGCAACATTAGCTCACCAATAGTTCAAAAACAGACCTATATAATCAAAGTTTAACCGTGGGCTCCTTATCCACTTCAGTACAGATTTACAATAGATAAATAATGGAGATTTTATGTGCGTCCATATAACTAATTATCATGTAACCCCTGATGTTCACATTCATAGTAGAGAGAGTGAAGGAATACTTTATATGTCCTGTGTCTCCAGTGATTCCAGCTGAGCTACGCGTGAATTTGGCCTGGTCTAATTTCAGCACTTACATTTTACCTAGATCGTGACTTGAGAGGAACGATGCATGTTCATATTCTACAGTAAGGCAACAGGATACAGCTAATGTGCATAACCAATCCCTAAGTTGTCATAAATACTTTAAAGCTATCTCCCTAACAAACTATTTGATCCAAGACGTATAACATGGCAAAAAAAACAGACATTTTGCCAGGACAAGTTTGAAAACACTGGTTAAAAATAAATCACAGCTCGTGAATGATGTACATTGCAATATTATCCCCCCCTCCTCACAGACTGCACATCTGTAGTAACATTTTCTTGATTATATGTCCCTGAAAACGTCTTAATAAATAACTGTCTCTGAAAGGCACTCTGAAATGTGCAGCTCATAGTTTCTAGAAAATAAAACTACATTGACTCTATGAAGGTTGCTCACCTGTAATACTGTGTCTGCCTTCCTCAAGCTGTTTCCGACTGAGAATAAGTCACATAATTCAACTTGTCTACATTTGTTGAAGCTAAAAATGTTTATATGATCAGCATTAGTCTAAAACTAATAACACAGTAACTGAACTGTTGACTGGGAACTTTACAAAAATGTTTCTCGCATTAATTCCTTCCTATCCAGTCAACTAACAGACCTTTGACAAAGCTTTAGATGCACATCTGCTTTGAATCTGTCCACTTTGATTAGACATAAAAACTGTGCTACTTTTGATTTGCTGGTTAAACTGTTGAGTACATTTTCAGATTTAGATGTCAGAGTGGTTCATCAGTGTCAAGGATTTCACATTCCATTGATACCCAACTTTTACATCCAGTGCAATTGTTCCTTTTTTGAGCACCTTCTTGAGCAAAATGAAAAGAAACACAAAACTACCACAGTAGTATATAACAAAATAACCTTCTGCACAAAGCCATCTATTCAATAGATGAGATTTCTTTCAATTCAATTTGTCACTAAAGCTTCGGGGCTGACACTAAACTAGTGGAGAGTTTAGTGTCTGTACCACACTTCTAGCCCTTTGGATTCAGTCAAGGCCACGTAGGCTGAAGCATACACACTGCCAACTCTTTCCGTACCTTCGGCCTGAAAAAAAACAACTAATTTTTGCGCTGGTCTTGGTATGCAGTGTCGCGTTGGAAGGATGATTGTGATTAAGCCTTGCGAGTGCAGCTCATCTACGTTTATCCAGCAACAGCAAAGCTCAGTGGTTTGTATGCAGCGCTCCATTTCTGCGCTCTCCGGCCATCAGTTTGTGAATAAAAATCTTGTTCAGCTTTTTATCCACTCTCGTCAGGAAGCACTTGTGTCAAGCCGATGTAAACCGAAACGCAGAAAGATGAGGTCAACTCATCGAAGCTGGGGGGGGGGGGGTTTTTGGGGAAAACCCGGGGGGGGGGGGGATGAATAAGCTGCCCGGCTGGGTGTGGGCGTTGGAGGGGCAGTGAAAGGGCTTCCAGACGTCTTTATGTCCAGCTCAGACCTGCATCTCTGAACCGCTGGACAAGCCAAGAGCGTTTGCCTCCTCTGTCGTCAAACCATTCTTCAGTGTCCTCCTCACTGTGCAGACAGGACAGGAGGAGAAATAAAAGGGGACGTGGAGAGAGGATGACAAACTGATAAGTAAGAGCTTTGGACCAGTGTGTTGGTGCATGCAGCTAACATTTCTCTGTGCATGGTAATAAATCAGGCCACTTGTCCAATAGTTGACGTGACTCACATGATTTCCGGTTGGCTCGGGACCGTCTCCTCTCCCGAGGTTGCGTCCGCTGGCTGGGCCCCTGAGTGGCTGACCTAACAATCCTCTCCATGATCTCATCAGCTGTGTCATCTGTGCAGTTCACTGGGTCATCATTGGCAGAGCACCATGGGGGAACACGCCCTAAAACAACAAGATCAGAATGGATAAGAAAACAACAAGGCATATTGTATAGTAGGGCAGGTTTAAGAAATCAAGACTGAGTGTACTTAGACACACCGTTAGCATGCTATCATACTTACACTGACAGGGCTGACATGCTGATGTTAAGCAGGTATAATGTAAAGTTCCTCATTGTGGTTTAGCAGTTAACGTAACAAGTTAACAATTGATAACTAGCACTAAAAAGTACAGCTGATGAATTTAGTCATAAAAAATCAGCTGAGTACAATCCATCCAATGATTGTTGAGACATGCACGCAAAACCACAAATGTGAACCTCTTGTGTCACTAGAGGAAAAGCCAGGAGATCATCAACATCAATAGGATTCATCATCTGGCCATGAATGTCAGTACAAAATTTTTACAAATGTGTACTGGATGGATAATATAAATATACATATGTTCTATACTATGTGGGGGTTGCAACAGTATCATGTTTATGAGACTGACCTCTGGTGCTGCTGGCTCTGGTGCGTGTACGGAGGCCGGGCACTGTGGACGTCCCACTCTCTCCACCCTGCAGGCTACTCTTTAATACGGCCTTCATGTTCTCATGTTCAGCCACATCTTCAGCATACTGGATACCCTGAGGCTGGCTCTCCTGTGCTTCTGACGGGGCACCGCCAAATTTACCACTCTGGAGGAGGGAGAGCACACGTGATTACAATATCTGGTATTTTATTAGTAGAGAAACTCCATGCTCTGACACTTTTAGGATTATGAAAGAAGAACAATAAAGAAAAGCTTTGAATATCAAACTTGTCATACAGGTTAATCTCTACACTTTCCGGCCTAAAGTAAGAACAATTAGTCATTGATACACATCTTAAGTGCTGTTTGTTCTGTGACACAGACAAAAAAAAGGAATTCCCCTTTTTCTTCATAACTGGTTCTTGCAACAGTGCAGGCATGCCAGGTTCAGCAGTTCAGCTTTTAGTCCCTCTAAGGTCCATTAATTTCTACCAGGAAGTAGGTGCTTCCCCTAGTAAGATTCACTCAATGCTCCAGCCGACCTCATGCAAACACCTCTTTTTCTAGCCTTGTCATCACCTTCAAGCTTCCTCATTCATGTAAGGTCACACACTGTCAGTCTTACTGAGGGCACGTTCTTTGTTAATCTCCGTATACACACCGGTTATTGTTCAAAGATATTACAACACAGCCTGGTTGAATGTTAGTCACAACGGGAAATTCACATGCACTTGTTTGCACACAGTTACCTCACTATCATCGTCCTCACTCTACGGAGATAAAAGAAATAGAAGGAGAAAATGCTAAAGGCGTGCTGTATAATATATTACACTGCCGGTATCAAGTGAAAACCTTTCACCTACAAAGAGACAATGTTTCAGAAAACAGTCTTTAGGCTTTATCTTTCACAGAGTTATCTAATTTTACAGATTTTAGCATTTTCATCATCATAAAAAAACATATAATGCTTGATTTGCGTTTTAACCATTTAAGGAATAGCTCAGCATTTTGGGAAAACACTCTCGTGTCTGTACAGTAAATATAAATCTGGAGCCAGCAGCAGTTTAGCATAAAGACTGGGAACATGGGGAAACAACCAGCCTGGCTCTGTCCAAATAATTTCCTTTTGCCACCTCTAAAGCTCACTAATTAACACATTTTTTGATCCATATAAAAAAAACCCAACAATTTGTCTTTTTACGCTGGATTATTGGTGGTCGGATTGGCTTACCTTTGGACAGAGCAAGGCTAGCTGTTTCTCTACTTTCAGTCTTAATGCTAGGCTAAGATAATGGGCTTATGGCTCCAGCGACATTGTGAACAAACAGATAAGAGAGTTGCATTAACCTCCTGTCTTTTAAACATCCCAATTTCTCAGTGATTTTCACCCCCCCATAAAAACACTGCAGATATGTACAAGCTATGGAAAGAAAAAGCATATTTGACTGAACATCTTTGAGTGTGGTTAAGGTGTGGGCCTTGTTATTTCTCCTTCAGGGACATCCAAAGGTTTGAATTTTCACACAGTGATTGAATTAGGGTCCCTTTGAAGAGAGAGGGGCCCCTTCCAAGGCTCGCTGTGGAGTCTGCTCTGACCAGCAGACTCCTTAGGGTTTAAGGGATTTTAATCATGCAGGGAGGTGTTTGCTCTGGCCTTTCTTAGCCTGCTACAGAATGAGATACACTAAAAACAACTCACTGATTGTTGTTACAGTAACCTATACATGTGAATACCGGGGAACTATGCTGATGTCATTACAAATGTATGCCGTTTCTGTCAGAAATGGCCACATTTGGCACTTTAACCAGATTAAAGATATAACCAGTGTCTAGGGATTGCTCATATTGTTTCACAGAATTGAAAAAGTACAAACCAAACAAAGACGAGGATCAGGAAATGGAGAAAGTGTACGTGTGACTCGTTGCTCGTGGTGAAGAACACTTACATCTGTTATCATTTTTCCCCTGGTCTTGTTCCTCTCTCGGTGGTTAGCCCTCTTCTGTTTCTGCTGTAGCACGCGCTCTCTTGTTGTGCGATACTCCAGGGCAAATTCACTCAGGATCTTGCTAAAGCGATGAATGCTGACCTCACGGACTGCATATATCGGATGGCCCAGGAACAGCAGAAAGGCGTGAAACCTGCAGACGCATAGAGAAACATCACATCAATGTACAGAGATCCTTTAGCAGAAACAAAGTTGCCATAAATGCTACAAATGGTTATAAATACCACTGAATTACTAGTGACCAATAGTAGTGACAATATCCAGCATGGAGTCATTTGATCTACATCTTTACGTACCTATTGATTATTCTTCGATGTACAATCTTCAAAATGATGATTCTCTCTGCACACTCCTTAAGGAAGTCTGACATTTTCTGTTTCAATGCTGGCTTCATCTCATGTTTTGCAATGACCTTGAGGTGATCCCATGATGCTTTGCACCTTCGCTCCATCTGGGCCAGATTGTCTTGAAGCTGGTCAAAGTCCACCTGACAACAGTACCACAGACAGAACTCTCTTTAATGAATGTGGCATTTGTACTTGCTGCTACTAATAACCAACTATAATTGTTTTTAAGAAAGAAAACAAGGCTAACCTTGGTCAGGCGGGTGATAGCTCCTATCTCAGAGTAGAGGTCAGTGCTGTCTGGAAACTTCTCGACCACGATGGAGCAGGCGTGGTGCAGTAGGGACTGCTTGTGAACTGTGTCCTTTACCTCCGGGACTTTCTCCAAGTAACTCAGCTCAAAGCCTTTAGCCTAGAGATGCATGCATGCACAGCAACACAGTCAGAACGTGGGACGGAAACAACTGTCTGAAATCAAAAATCAAAAGCCCCTACTCGAGGAGCAAATTGCAGTAAATTTCCTTTTTGGCACAGTCGGAAAAAGGGGCTCAATGGAGTGCGCCGAGTAGATATGTAGATTCATTAGGCTGGTGATTATCAGAAACCACAATCTACTTCAGACCCGACCGATTGTTCTGCTCACCACAGTGAAGCTAAAAAAAGCCAGAACATATCATGAAAGACATAATCCCAACAGGATCTCCCTTGTTCTTCTGCCAGTTTTAAATGGCTTACTGCAAAATATAAATGCAGCCATTATTTACGGGAACTACTTGTTTTGATGTTGATGACTTATGTTTCCCGTTTGCATTTCTGGCTCTCATATCCCAGAGGTTCACTTATACATGGACATACACACAGATGCATGCTCACAAAGGCACACGCAAGGCCACAAAAAGTCACAAAGTGAGACCGTAGAAAAGCAAACAAAACAGTCAGTCAGACACTGATGCAAGTTCACACACAAGCAGCCAGACAAACACAAACTGTTAGAAAACACACAACCTCCCTTTTTCCTCTCAGACAGACAGAGCCAGGTTCAGCAGAGGCTTTGACAACTTTTTACTGTAGAAGGACAGTGCCTGATGCAGACAGTCAGGCAGCACATTCTTCAACACATAGAGAGTCCACTGTTATCCTTGCCAAATAAATATGTTGGCGGGTGAGTTGGGGGGAGGAGGAGGAGGAGGAGGAGCGTGGGAGGAAATGGAGGAAGTGAGTAAAAGACACAGAGGGAGAGAAAGTGAAAAAAGAGGAACCTCTAGGCTATATATGTCTTTGAGGGTTACTCACATTAGTGCTGTTGAGGAAGTTGCCTATGGCTAGCAACGTGGTCAGGATGTAGCGGAGTGTCTTATTTTTCTCTAACTGGTCCATCCCCTCCTTCAGGTCCTGCAGAGGCTCTGCCACTTCCTAGCATGGAAATAGAGTCAAGAATCGTGTTGGGCAGTAAGGCATTACTATTGATGGTATTACAGTAATAATATTTACTACTTGTGGCTGCAGAGGGAGCTGCGTGAAGTCTGATAAACTACCTCAAGTGATCGAGTCAGGGTTGGTTGACTACCAGGATTGAAAATGCAAAAAATCTGGGGTTGTGGAATTAGAAAGAAGTGCGGTTACCAGATCTCTGTAGCCTCGGCCCTCATGTCTGCTTGAGGCTAGCAGCTAGATCAGATGTTATACTGGCATAACACACACAAATCTCTGAGTAAACTGTCTGTGCTCAAATTGCATTGTGGGTAGTATAGGCACCAGGTTTTGATAATAAAGAAGCATGAGGGGAATGAAAAAGACGATATCTCTGGTACTGCATAATCGCTAGAAGAGGCCTACTCTTTTAGGCTCTTTGAAACAGTTCACCCATTCACGTTGTTGCCAAGAGTAAGATAAGGAGATCAATACCATTCTCATGTTTGTACAGGAAATATGAAGCTATAGCCAACAGTCGATTAGCTTAGCATAGTATAAAGACTGGAAACAGGGGGAGACAGCTAGTCTCCAGTCACTGTGGCTGGCCGATAACAATGAAACAAAAAACATGTCACTTCTGTGAAATTTAGAGGTGTTGGTAAGCAGATTTTGTTCACTTGTTGTTACCAGGCTAGCCTTTTTCCAGCTGTTTTCCATCTGTTTCCATTCTTTATACTAAGCCAAGCTAGGAAGCTATTCACCATACAGGCACGATAGCGGTATCTCCTCATCTAACTCTTGGCAACAAAGCGTATAAGTGTATTTTCTGAAATGTCCAACCATTCCTCTAATTCACAAAAGCCTGTGTACTGTAAAGTAAAGAAAGTTTTTGATTGTTTTACTTCTCCAAGTTTCCAATCTGGGATTTATTTTGCATGTGATTAAAGTGAACAGGAAATGTGTCTGACCTTCTCAATAAGCTCATAGTCCATCTTGAATGCCCACAGCTGCAGGCGAGCAGACAGCTCTGTGATGGAGGAGAGGGTGAGAAGGAATTGTTCAGCACTGCCCAGAGGAATATCAGGGTTGACCAGCTGAGCCTCCTGGATCCTCTGCTTCTCCTCCTCCGTGGGGATCATGGTCAGGATTTTCTAGGAGACGGAGGAAGGGAAAGGAAAAGGCTTATTGGATCATCCATCAAGTCAACATGTCAAAACTTTTTCAAGAGTAACATTTTTTTACATAATATGTCAGGGAGTAAATCAAAGACAGGGAGAGGAAACACATTGATTCTGACTTTTCTATCTCTGTTTATCTGAGATGTTTCCAATTTTTTCCCACAAACTTGTGTGACATCTGAACTTTCGACCTTGCTTGTGTTGTCTGGCTGAAAATATCTCCAGAGACAAAAGGTGGAGAGTAATACTCCTCTCTGCTGAGAATTAAATCAAGGAGAAGCTCTGAAAACTACAGGTTATATAATACCAAAGGGACGCAACATTTATCATTGTCTGCTGATGTGAAGTCCTTCAAGCGTCTATGGTATGGTTTTAAAAACGAGCTGAAAATATGCATGCGGAGCTAACCTTTAATCATCGCTGTGATTAATTACATGGAAACAGCCAAAAAGCCAGCCACGCAGCCAGAAAATCACATGATATGTGAACATTGTGGGCCATCCCATCTATGTGAGTTAAATTTCTCTTGTTTGGGGAAATCCATCAGCGTATTTTGGTTTGCTGAGTAAATATCATTCAAGAAAACCATGTTTATTTTGGACTCAGGGAGCTTGAATGGGTTTTATTTGATGGACGAGACAGTACTTATAATATGCGGTACCATTTTAGATACAGAATGTGTCTTAAGACAGAATCTCCTTAAAGTGCTTACCTCAATGCCTTCTTTGTTCAGTGCGTACTCATCGAAGTTGAGGATAGCGGTCTTGATGGTGCGGGGAGGAGGTAAGACAGTCAAGCCGATGTTTATAGCGTTGCTGCGTTTTGAATCCAGGACTATTATTTCTTGTCGTTTGCCATCAACAGCTGCCTTCTATGAGATATCAAGAAATCAAGGCTTGAGTGTTGCATATTAGATCATGTATCTCAAGTAGTGGAAGCAGTTCTTAATTTTTTAAACAAAAATATATGTCAAAAAACCTGACCTATCAGCCTTTATTACAAATGCAGAAGTGAGCTTTCATCATATTTCTCATAATGTTTTTTTCTTAGATGGATGAATGACGAGTCAGTTTCTATGATTCCGATTTGAAGTAGGGCAAAAGGTATAAAGGACAACAGGGTTGTCACTTAAAGGTTTTAATTTTCTGGTGAGCATGAAACACTTATTGTCTGGCCTGAGGGTGTTGCCTGCAGAAAGGTTGTTACAGTAAGACACTCATGGGACACCTAAGGGTGTTGCTACAGGAGGGGTCATTAAAATAAAACTGTATCCTCTTGGGAGCATGAAACTACAAATTAATGAATGTACAGAGACACTAGTGAAGAGTTTAGTATTTTTAATACTTTTCGGTCCTATTTTGTGAATGACATTTTCTGTTAAGGAGGTCCTTAATGTGTGTTTTTTTCCCCTCTCACTACCATTGAAAAGGGTTTCACCCATTTCAAATGGTTAATTTATTACTACAAACTCACAAAATGATCCTTTCTGATATGTTGCCGGAAAGCAGCTGAAGACTGAGACAAATCAGGACTGCAAAATTAATTCCAAAAGTATACAGTAATACTGCAACACAAGTTACCTTTGTGACAGGCAGCTCCTTGGATTTGGACTCAAACAGCTGCTCCATCTTGGATGTGTCCAGTTTAATTGGCTCCAGTTTGGACCAGAGGGACTCCTTACAGAATTTATGATTCTTACACTGCCAGTCCATGGGACGCACCTCGTTCCAGAAGAGGCGGATGGTCTTCTTCTTCTTTTGGAAGAGAGGCATCTCCCCTCGACACAGCTGAGGGGAGGGCGGAGGGATAGGGGCCATGAATGGCGGGGGTGGGGGCATCATTTTACCAAGCATGGGAGGAGGAGGGGGACAGCCGAACAGGGGCGGAGGTGGTGGCAGGGTAGCACTGCATGGCGGAGGGGGAGGTGGTGGTATCAGGTCCCCTGACCCCATCACACTGTCCATATCTAAAATGTCCACGTCATCTTCATCCTTCAGGTCCGTGAAGTCCATTTCTTTGATCCGCAGCTCCCTGGGTGTGGCCATCAGCTGGTCCCAGATGTAGTCCGACTCTTTCTTAGGGGGTAAGGTCGGTGAGGCAGCCGGTGATGCTTTGTCAGTCTGCTGCTGTTCTTTTGAGGCCTCCACCTCAGGAGGAGATGTCAGACCTTTGACCAAATCTCCAAACTTCTCCGCCACTGCTCGGACACTGCCCTGGTTGTCCAGATGTCCCACCTCCATTTTTTTCACATTTTCTTCTCTGGCCTGTCTGTGAGCCTCCAGTGTGGAGATCCTGCTGGCCAAGCTAGCCACAGAGGAGTCACTGACCTCCGTCTCCTTCTCGCATTTACATGTTTCTTTCTCCGTTTCTGCTACATTCCCTTCATCGCTGCTAGTTGTCTTCTGAGCATAGAGCATGTCCAGCATAAAGCGCTTGCTGTTGAGTATTTTGTTGCACTGGTCATTCACATCTGCGTCTTTAATGCACTGTGTCCACTGGCCTGTTGATGCACAAACAGGGTAGACAGTGAGAGAAATATACATAGTTGATTATCAAAGTATGTGAGTAAAATTAGCATCAATCATACCTGCTTCAATGTCATTGGTGAGTTTCTCCTCCCTCTCCTCCCTCTCCAGAGTGCTACTGGTAGAGGAGATGCTGGATGCAGAGCAGTTGTCCTTTTCATTCACTTCCTCGTTCTGTCTCTCCTTCTCGCTCAGCAGTACAGTATCTTCTACATCCCTTTCCGTCGTCTGCTCCTTCTCAAACTCAAACTCGACATTCGCCTCCACCTCCGCCTCCGCCTCGACATCTGGCTCTCTCACACCTGCTACATCTGCTACCTCCACTTCTTCTACCTGCTCTTCTACCACTACTTCATCCACGCACTGTTTCTGTTCCTCAGGCTTCTCCTCCTCTTGCCTCGTTTCACTCTCCATGCCGGATTGTTCATCGGATGCCGGCTCTGCCAACACATTCTGGTCAGACTGACTCTCAGCAACGTCCTCTGTCTCTGCAGGCGACTCTGTCTCAGTCTGCTGCTCGTCTGGCTCTGGGGGAGGCGTGGGGGAAGGTTCTGATACTGTTAACTCTGGCGCTGGACTTTTGGTCCTGGTCTGTGGGTCAAGGTTTGGCTCTGAGATTTGTTCTGTTCCTGGAAGAGAAATCAAAACATCGTGCAAGAAAATGTTACTTTAAGTACTCTGGTTATGTGCCTTTATATTATCTGATAGTCTTCAGAAACATTCTTTGTTTATAATTAAAACAGCTTTAAATTGCTTCCCGACATATCCTTAATTGAACTGAGAGATTGTCTAAACCCAACATACATTTTCAGACTGTAGCAGTAATTAACAAAGCATGTTACCATGGCTCATGACCATAGAAAATCACTGTAAAATTAAACGTGAGTGGCTGAAAGTCCGGTTTGAATCGAAAGTATATTTTAGAAACATAAAGTGTAATATTATAAAAGAAAAAAGCCTTTTAGATTGCAGCTATGACAAATTACCTTCTGAGGATGTTTAATCAGAACCTCTATAAAGCCATTTCAAAAGTAGGAAAATTAGATATTTGTTTAAACGCACCTCCACCTCCTTCTCACTCTCTTTAGACACACTCAAAATATCAGTTTCACTTAATTTGCATTTCTAGAGTTATTCTCAATAACCCCTTTCACCAGAAGTGCAGTTAAATCTAATTTCTGTGCAACAAAGTGTTTAATGCAAAGCCCAGTGTGTGTGGCAGGTGCTCTAACAGCCAGTATTGTCTCTGCCAGCTCCACAAGCCAACAATGCAGTCCTTTCATGTGCATATCACTTAGGCACTAATGATGAATAAATGGTTGGTGATTGCCATTTACCTGACGTCTGGTGTGCAGTGACGGTGTCCTCCTGTGAGATGGATGAAGGTGTGGTACAGCGGGACACTGAGCGGCTGGCAGGATTGGGACTCAAACACAAAGTGATTTCTGTCCGTCCTCTTGTTGGCGCTCTGGGGCGCTCTCGTTCAAACTCCTCAGCAGCTAGCCTCTCCACAGCTTTGTACCTGCAATAACAAAATGGAGCTTGAAGATGTCTGCACACTGTGGTGTCGATACGTGCTGATCTGAACTAAATGTCAATAGTTGTTCGAGTCTCAGTCATTTGACAGTTGTGGTATAAACAGATGCAAACATGCAAAGGAATGCAAACTGGTATTGTTTAGATTTATTTTCTCAAAGTGAATGACTCAATGACAGTTGTGAAAATGTTACTCAAAATTAGAGAGGTTTGTACCATTTTCTTTCTATAACAAGCCTTCCAAGCAAATCAAAAATGCAAGCTCCTGAAAGAATTACATTCTAAAAACACATGAGGGCTTCCTCCAACAGTGATGAAAGATTCAGTCAGGCTTTAGTGAATAATAGCCATGGGGTCAATATTTATGCTGTGAACAAATATGACATGTTTGTTATTAAAGGGTAACTAAGGAAAAATTGAGCTGTACACAGGGACTGAATGATGACAAATGACGTCCTGCTTTTGTTAAAGTTGCCAAAGTACGGTGTAACATTTTTGTGTTTACACTTTCTTAAATTTTACAGTTCACAGGGGTAAAAACAGTGAGTGCATAAGACTGAGCTATAAATTATACTGCACACACACAGACACACAGCCATGGTCAGAGGGAGATAAGCGGACCACATCCATGCCGAAACAAAATTACACACTTGTCCTATTAACTTTGGGATGTCTTAATGTTGAGCAGGCCTAAGGGGCTCTGACACCTATAATTCAGCTTTAGGCTGGGTGCAACTGACTTTCCATCTGCTATCAATTGTAAAACAGGATCTCAAAGCATGCACAAGCCTCCTCAGTTGTTTGATCTAGCTTCACAACGGCAGCATTATTGTGGATCCATGTGAACCCATGAAATAAAGCACACTCACCTTTCCTCCCTGGCCTGTCGTGCTTCTTCCCTCTTGTCTACATAATCTCGACTGAGACAGAAAGACAGAAACAGAGAGATAAGAGAGTGATGAAGAGGCAATTTAAGACCTGTATCCATATTATGTATAAATGTAAGTACAAAGAAAGCAAACAAAAAGGACAGGACAACTGAGCAGAACATATGCTTGTGCAGACTCTGCCATGATTCAGTTATATCTAATGATCCTCATTAAGAAAGACAGCCCAGCTTTCATCAGACTCACAGGAGATTTATGAATATCTCTATAAAATGACACATGCCAACATGTCTTGGCTGTACAGTACAAAGTAATAAAATATATTCTCTCTGACATGTGATGTTTTGTCTGATTCAAAGGTGAGAGACTAACCTGAAGCGGTTCCTCTCTTCTCTTTCGATTCTCTGCAGACGCTCTTCTCTTTCCAAGCGCCTCCTCTCTCTCTCTGCAGCCAGAGACTCCTGATGCTGCCTGTACGATGAAGACAGCAAGCCCCCTAAAGCAGGTCTACACGGCAAGGAGAAACAACAAATGTGATAAAGTTATTAAAATTGAGTGATCTGTGTTTTTATTTGCACATTTGTTCAAATAGGAGTTTTACAGATGGGCTGAGTTAACATTTAATCAACCGTATCCACAAAATGTTCTGCATTAGCTGTGGAAAAAGTTGAGATGCCAACCTGTCAACTGGTTTGGAGTCTGGTGTGGAGGTTGCTGAACTAGTGAAGCGATGGATGGGTGATGTAGGAGCCTGGTGCCTGCCAGGGTATGGAGTGCCATTGGCACTGATTCTGTTAAAAGAAGGGGAAAATAAATGCTTTGTTATCCCCTAAGACATTTTTCCACTGAAAGACAGAAAAAGGCTGAATATCACTTCAAAGAATCTGTGACATAATGCAAAGTGAATTCCAATGTCATACTGACATTTTACACTGAGTAATGACTATAACTTCTCCCTAGGCATCTGAACAGCTTTCCTGTAAGGCAAGCAATGCCATCAAGCTCTGAAGGATACCTACAGGTGCATTGGTCATCTGTGTTTGTACATGGGGGCAATCTTTTATTAACTGATCTTTCCACCAGACCTACTCTTTTGTTAGAGGCCTTGTAATTGGTAAATCGTGGACATTTTGACCTTGAACAGTTGCTTGAACACCTCATGTGTAAATAAAAACTCAAAAAAAAGTTTTTCTTCTGGCTCCTACAGTTGGATATTCGAGCTTCACTGTGCAGATGTTGATGTACGAGCAGAGTTTGACAGTAGAAGGATGTTTTCATATTCATCTGTGGAAAGTGGAAAGTTTCTCTGTGCTCATCAGAAATCAGAGTTTAAGGAGCGGGGCCTACAAGAATGATTTATGACATCACAAATAGTCAATCCTGGTCCAGTGCGCAACTTAAACAAGTGTGATGGAGAAACTTTAGTGTGCATACACTGAGGATGGACTTGTGAAGAAGGAAACATCTTGTGTCCAGCAGGAAAAAGATTCTGGAACTTTTAATGAGGCAGAAGGAATAAATCTATTTTTAAAGATATTAATGTGGAAATTATTTATTTTATTTGCAGAACATATCAGACACACATTATTGTTCCAAAGAGGCTGTTTTCCATAATATATGTCTGGATCTTTAACAAAGATGTCTGAATCAATCACTATTAGTGTTAGTGTGTAACACAAAACTTTCTCTGAAACTATTAAATGAAAATCACAAATCCTTAGAGCCATCATACAACTGCTGTCCCTGCACACTCTGATTACACTTGACCTGTTAAATCCTGGTCTTACCTTTCAGCCCAGCAGGGCTTTCTAGCTGTGTAAGATGTAGGAGAGTTGTTTATATCTGTCAGACTGAAGATGGAAGTGAGAAAAAAAGAGAATAACAGTCAGATCAGGCACCCCGAAGATTAAATAATTAAGTGTTAGTCACACAAACAAGATAGTGAGACAGCAGTTGAAGGTAGGAGGGCTGCAAGACCACAAAGAGCAGACAGGGGCAAGACAATATCTCTGTCTGTCTTAACGATTCAGTGTGTTATTCAGACAACTATAAAACTACTGTAAATCCCAATAAATAAAGCAGATTTAGAGGCTTTCTTTTTTTTAGTGTCTACTGCATTGAGAACAGGGAATTATTTACGCTTAGATGGCATTAGGGATACTATATGTTGAGGAAATGCTGTGCCTGTTCAGATTGGGTCGCCTATCCTTTTTATATTGCTGCAGAAACATGGACAACTAAGAGACAGTGGCTGTGGCTCATGCAAATATTCTGAATTCCTTAATGCTTTGAATTAATTTATTGACTTGTCCTGGATTAACTGTGGTGCAGAGCCACAATGAAAGACAGATGAGCAGTTTTACAAAATAACGCTTTGCAGCAACTGAGAAAAGGAATTAATTATGACTTTTCCTTGTTCTAGTACAGAATGTCTTTGGAGAGGATAGATGCAACATAAATCGCATCTGATGGGAAATAAAGGCGTTTCTGGCCGCTAGGATCAAGAAAACATTTTTTTAAAGGATGAAGGATGTAGAGAGGAACTAAGCTACAGCATGTCCAACACAAATAACCTCACAGGATGCAATTTATCAAGAAATATTTTAAACTTTATAATGACTATATCAGCTTGTACTCTTGTAATGCTTGCAGGTGTCTTAGCTAACTGCACAGAGAGCTACAAAGAGACAGACACCGGTGATGGACAGTGTGTTTCCACATGGTGAGGTGTAATGGTCTGGACGTAAAACATGTAGAGGAACTGTAGCACCTGGCACCTCTACCTGTAGTGCCCTTCTCACTCTCCTCGGGCCACAACAGACACCTGGCTCTAGTTGAAGTCAGGGGACGGATGGAAAGGGAAGGGGGTGAGGTTGGGGTAGAATGACACTGAGGGCGTGCAGAGCTTGGCACTCTATTCAGAGCAGTGGGGAAGACACAGTCAGGTGGGTGGGGAGGAACACACCAAGGACTAAGGGTCCTCTTTCTAGGTGCGACGGACACAGGAGAAGACGTCCTGGTCCTGGCGCTGAGATATTTTCTCTGCCCTTCAGGGTCACTGGCTTTAGGGAGGATGTTGGCCATACAGTTTAAGTTCAGACACATGTTAGGAGTGTCTGCTACAGCTGGAGCCACACTAGGATGACAAAATACAAGAGAGTCCAAAAGGAAAGAGGAAAATAATCATACTTTCAAATGGAAGAAAAACTAGGGAGATACTGCATGTGGAAAATGGGGAAACTATATCACGCTTGGAAAACTACAGTTGGCTAAAAATACCTGTGAGCACCCTGTCTAGAGGACTCAGTGACTGGATGACTTTCATCATCTGCCTCGTCCTCCTCATCCTCCTCATCCTCCTCCTCCTCTCCTTCCTCCTCCTCTTCCTCCTCTTCTTCCTCTTCCTCTTCTCTGTGGTGAGAGGAGGGGTTTGAGGGTTGAAAGGAGGAAAGGGAGGATGTAGGCAGGCGGGAGGGAAGAGAAATTGGACAGAGACAATATGAAAACACAGAGCAGAGGAAGCAGAAGAGACAACACACAGAAATGACAAACACTAAAAACAGGCTTGTCGAAAAAGCATTAAGAGGAAGTATTAGTGCAGAGCGGAAACAACCACTTAAAGATGGACAAGAATACGAGTAGGCTTTGACAGCAGTCTTTCATGACAAAGTCTCAAAATATTAGAAATGGATATGCCCAGGCAACAGTTACAACTATATTCAAGTGCAATTTCTATGGCAGCATTAATACAATAATACACAACAAATATAAAACATCTCCCAGTGATTTGAATTGACGAGAAAAAGATTAAACTCAATAACAGTTTTAAAACTGTTAGGAGACAGCTTGTGTGTTTGAACTGATAGTCTGGCATACACTGTCATACAGGAGGCTGAGGCCAGTTGGCTATCTGGATCCCTCTTGGTTGTCTGGATTTCATTAACAATATGGAAAACGGTGATCTTCAAAGGCAGCTCGAATTTCCTGTGGTAAACTGGAAGAAGCTAGTCTGGTATCATATGACCTACTGGACTGAGTTTAAGTACACCTTAAGACCTGAGTGCTACCAGGAACATCGGTGCATATGGTTCTTAAAAAAGCTTGTTATTAATGTTAGGGGATTGAATTATGAGAAACCAGGAAAGATCAGTCATCAGTGGTGATTTAAAAGAATGACCGTCTTCTGACACATGACCTATAATAAAAAGTAGGATAAAAGGTTAAGAAAATTTCCATACAAAGGAACTGTCCAAGTTTTTCTGGTGCTTTTATAGGGAACAGTCCAAGCTACTGTACAATTAAACAAGAATGCAATTTGCTTCTTGCCACCAGTTGTGGTTTCTGCGAGTTTGTGTAGTCACAAAAGTTTGTCGTGTATAAAACAGATTGCACTGTGAGGTTTAATGCACTCTCACTAAAGGAAGCATGAGACAGAGAGCAGATAGTTCCTATCATGTGTTTACAGAAGCTTCCTATTTCCATCAGTGGCAGAAGAATGTCTTTGACAGTGGGAAAATTAATTTAAATGTCACTTCTCAGCAACAGTCTCCTCTTTGCCGTTCTTTAAATTACTATATAATTAAATTCTCTGCTTTGGCTCGGGACAGAATCGACGCATCTCTCCAAGACTGAAATATAATACAACACTTGCAGTCAGGCTGTTTCCTGTGAAACAGAGTAATACTTCATGGACCCAGGATTAATTTGTGATTCCTTTTTAGTTGCAGCTATCTCTCAGGGCTTTAAATATACAAGACAGAAACAACCCCCTCCTGGCTGAACCTTTTAAAACCAGGATCAGACTGAGTTCAAGCTGAAAGGGAAGCAAGGTTAAAGTTTATTTTCTTCTGTTGAATATTTTCCACCTTTCCATTTCTCTCCGTCCTCCTTCCCCCCCGCCTCACCTTTCACTGATGTCTTCAACGCGTTGGCCACCGAAGGGCAGGAAGCTGCTCGCATGAGTGTGAGAGCTGCTCGGGGATGCTGGTGCAGAAGCGTGGCCTCTGCTATTCTGGAGCGAATGTCTCCGGCTGCGTCTTCTCTCCAGGCCACGCTTCTCGTTGGTGCCGCCGACACTGGCCCGTCTGCGGTCCTTGCGGACGCTGGGGGGCAGCTGGGTCTCATCGTCTCCGTCCTCGTGGCGGAGAGTCATCTGGATCAAAGGCATCACGGAGAAACTGAGTAAATAAACTGCATGTTTGTACCTTGGTACACACTTCATGTATATATGTGAGAAGTGAAGTGACCTACGACGTGTGAGACACGCATGCCTATGAACATGACATCAAGGCTAGGTGTTATTTGATAATGTGGGCCATGTAGGCGTCCTGACCTCATATATGTTGAACTGTTCTACGAGGTCGAGGTCAGTGCCTTTCCTGCTCAGATGTCTCTGGGCCATGGTTTCGATGCCCTGCTCCTCCAGACAGTCCACCATGTCGTAGTATGAGTCCTGGTCTGGGAGGCTTGCCAGAGTCTGAAACACAAATACATCCAATAAAACACACAATATGAGTTCTAACCTTGTCTTTGCAATTTAGATTAACTGTGAGAGAAACAAAATAATTGGTACAATAAAGAGAGAGAGAGAAAGGGAGTAAAATTACTTCTAAGGCCGCTTTGTTTAAACCTTGTATTGAAATGTAACTAGATATGCTATATAAATAAATCAATCTGTAGTGTTTAATCTGCTTATATTGTCTGTATTTTGACTCCAGTGTAATTGGATCAAATTTTCCTTGTGCACTATGAAAAACAGAGTAGGTTCATTATATACAGTACATGATTGTGTACAATCAATACTTATTTTTAATTAAGGTATTTTTTTAGGACTCTGCTATTGCTGCTGTTCTAAACTACTATAGTGAATCCTTCACCTAATAAGGGGGAGCAAAAGGAGTTATAATGGATCAGATTGCACTGTTTTTCGGAAAGCTTGACAGCCTTTACGTTTTCATCTGGGTCACAAATGCAATCCCAACATACAGATTGAATTTGCACCTGATTTAATCAACCTGATCACATTTTCTGTTCTTTTGGAAACAATGCTGCTGCGCTTTGAGCATTTACACACTGACAGACTTTTCTCCAGATTCGGATTACATTTTAACACAATCTGTAAAAGGGGTTTGAAAGATAGAGACCCAAAAAGAAGAAAATACTGTAAACCAGGAAACATGTTACAGGGAAAATAATATGTATGTATATATATATATGATGCATATGGGAGGCTGCCAACCCTATGTCGTATTCAATCCCTGACCTTATTGATGAGTGTCATCGCATACACCAGCAGCTCTGTATCCACTCCATCCTTCTCATCCAGGATCTCCATGACGTTTGACCACAGTTTTGTGCCTGCATGCAAAACAATGTATGTCACAAGACAGTTACATGCATAACTGATAACTAATCCATCTGTTCATCTTAAGGCATAAAAAACTTGCAGTTCCAACAGGGTGCAGGAGTGAACAAAGTTGTTTTATCATCTCATGGCTCCAGTAGGATAAATACAACGATAGCAGTCTTCTTCTAGAAAAGTGGCAGTGGAAAGACAGAGCAAGGGCGACCTGATCTCCAGTGAAAAACAGACCAGTGTCTCAGCCGGAAAGGGTCAAGTCCATCTCCTTCTCATCAGGAGACTGGGGATCAGGTTTAGGCTTCTTATGCAACAGCAGAAGTTACGGGATAAGACGGAGATGAGACAGAGGGATACCCAACCCCTGCACACTGACACTCAATCCCCCGTTGTACGCCGCAGTACAATTTGGGGCCTTTTAGAGTGGCAGTTAATTGAACCCCTCTGCAGACAGGAGTTGAAGTCTATGAGAAAGGTTTACTCTATGCATGGTGAGGAAGCTGCTCAGGAAAACTGATCTGACTACTGTGTAACAGGAGACTGTGATCTGCAGTCAGCTGAGGAGCAGTTTTGATGAACTTTAATATCCCAAAATCACTGTAATAGCACCTCATACACTATTTTCTGTTAAAGAGTGGATTGAATATGTGCATCTGTAGAGTTTTGCCTTAAATTCCCTATCTACATGTTTGATATGAATCACTTTGAGGTGAATAACTGACAGCCAATCAGTCAGTTTGTTCACTGCTGGCTGGTTAGTCTGGGCTCTTACCTCTTTTGGCATCAACCACATTCACAGCCTTTATGAGTAGGGCGGCGTTAGACTCGGTGTACTCCACAAACACCAGCAGCAGTTTTAGGGCTGTCTTCACCACCAGACGGAACTACAAAATAAGAAAAATACAGTTAACAAAGAAATCCCAATGTGGCACCAGCCCCTAAATCCCAGCACATAACACACAATCCGTTTAATTTCAACTGCAAACTTTTTTCTTTTTGTTTGTTTCACACAGAGCGCTGTGTGCCAGCCCTTGAACTTCCAACAAAGAAATGGCATCATATTGTCTTCTAACAGCTTTTCCTGTCTGAGCTGTCTTGAGAAGTTAGATAAGAACCTTGTGTGACGCTGAGGCAATATTAAATAGAAATTTAACAGCTTGTGGGAACACACTGTTCTGTACACAAGTAGTTTGAAAGAAGCACAAAGGTAAAAGTGACTACAAACAGAATAAAATAAAATCTGGGTTATAACAAACCAGCCAAAAATTACACTCCAAAAATGTGAAAAGGAGAGAGAAAATATAAGAGATGGAATTAATAGGCCTGAAACACAGCAAAGCAGTCAATGTTAATTTGCTTGAGAGTGAAAATCAACATCATGTAAGTGGTGTCAAAACAGTCAGATTTAATTTAACACTTCTGAACAGCTTCCACATCAGCACTTCGACTGGACACGCAACACCCCAATAATCATCGTCAAATGACTATTGACAATGGAAATTTGCCAGATTAAATGATTGGGAAGACAGGGTTTTGATTAAAGAAAGCAAGGTGGATGCCAAATATTTCAATATTTACACAGAAAAGCAGAAAAGTAATTAGTAAGAACAGAAAACAATGGGGAAAGAGAGGAGAGTCAATGCAGTTGCCTCATCTGCTGTAAATATGCAGCACATGTTGAGATCTGGCCACTAGAGGGCCGAGGGACCACAGTGACAGCTCTGCTTCCTTGTTGACAAAGCAGTTTCAGAGCATGTGTGATTATTTCAATTCTTTGTCAGAGCACAGATGGGGTTACTGAGTTGATTTTACAGTTTATCTACTATGTGGGCTGTGGGCAGAGGTCTTGTGAAAATTAATGTCCATATTCTTTACCTTGGATCCAACCAGGGTGTAAAGCCACTGGACCGTTTCATTGTGAGATATGAGGCCGTTCATCCCATCCACGTACAGCATTATCTGACCCAGAGCTGGAAAGAAAGAGATCGGGGTTGATTAATCATCTGCCATTTCATTGTTTTTCTTCTTTTGACTAAAAACTGACCATCACATTTGTCATGCTCAGCATTCAAAAGAGCTAGACGAGCAATAAATGCTCTCTCTAAATGTTTGGTGTCTGAACACTGATCATGAATCTCACTGGAGCACTAGCTATGCAAAGCAGGTAAAACTTTACCTACAAAATGTTACCAGGTTGGCTTTAGAGTCCTAAAAATCCCCCTTTATCTCGAACAGAAAATTGAAAAATAACAAAAAAATAACATTATTAGGAGGGCATTAAGTAAAACTCCCAGTGCACCCTGGCATACTGACGTCAGCCCACTCTATATGTCTGTTAACAGGACCTTGTCATATGGGTACGATTAAAAACGTAATTCTTTTCGGATAATTTTCTCCTGTGGAAATTACATATACATTCATAAACAAGCAAAGATACACACGAATTGTAAAGTTCTTAAAAAACACAACAATTAGATGAAGGCCTAAAAAGAAAAACAGCACTCGTCCACTCATCCCCCAAGTCAGTGGGCACAACTGAAGGGAAAATATTTGAGTAGAGTGCCTCAGTGGATGCTGACATGACTTCCATCTGTAACAGGATACATAAATAAGAACATAATAAGAGCCAAGGGATCTCAATGGGGGGCTGCAAAAGTGTAAGGCTTCTGTTAAGATGGAGACGGAGATGGGGGAAGGGAGACAAACGCCGCTGGACAGCAGTGGAACAGACAAAAGCTCCCTTTAAATATGTAGACTGTTTTTTTTTTTTTTTACAGCATATCAGTAGTCATCCACACATAGGGAGTTAATGCATTCACACAGAAGACTGCAGCAACAGGATGAGCTCAGCTTGAACCCTCTGCAACTTGAGGTGATACATTAACTGACACAAGGAGAGAAGCTGAAGCATAAACATGTGAACACATTGAAAGTGGAACACTTTTTGCAAGGCCTGTTTGACTATTTCTTGGCAAATCTGTGGTTTTGGGGGGTAATACCTATGAGAATTTCTTGGAAAAAGTCATGGAATTCTTGTCTTTTTCAAACATGACAAAAGTGAGGCGTGTAATTCAAGTTCAGAGATGTACGAGTAGCTGGAAAATTCTCTGTGGGCTGCAAAGCTGACAAAATCGAAGAAGAAAATGCAAAAAAAAAAGGCTAATCTTTGTTTAATCTTTGACCAACAACTTGATAAAATTCTTAAACAGACTTATTGAGAACTACTTAAAAGAGTACCGTCTCATCTCCTCATGCTGTGTTTAAAACAGTTTCTTTTGACATGTTGTGATGAGAGGCTGCAGCTTCTGTCATATATTTTTCCTCCCCTCTTCTCTAGAGGGGCATGAAAATTGTGAATATGTTGTAGATAAGCCAAAATTCCCAGGTGCAGCTGCTGTGTGTGCATGGTGCGTGAGAGTGTGTGGGTGGACGCATGAGTGCATGAGTGCATGTGAGTGTCTGTGTGTGTGTGCTGACGGGCCCACTGCTGCAGCAAGCAGCGGCAGTTCATCTTTTATCAATCAGGGTTAATTACTCACAACATGTCAAGCCACAGCATTCCTAACAGTCCTCTCCTGCTGCGAGCTCAGAGCCGTGTGTCACAGCAGTCAGCCGTGTGGACAATATGGCGAATCAAAGCAGACCACATCAGAGTGTGTTTATGAAAACATGATTAACCCCCTCAGTCAGCACGGGCCAGAGTGTCACCCTCTCCTGGTACTACGCCACTTTGTACGGGAGACCACTGCTGACAGATGAGTGACAGCGGTAATGACATGATGTACAGCTGGTCTACTGAGCCCAGAATGGATTCCTGCTGGGATTTACTGTTTAAAAAAAGATCTAAACTAGCATGTAAAAAGTGGCTAAAACAACTTTTCACAGCAATTCTTTATACACAGACACAAACAGCTGTGACTTTTGCTGGATGAGCAATGAGCTCCACACTCCTTCTCAAATCGGTAGCCTATGTTTGACCCGCAGTATCATCGCTGCGCAGACTTTTATCTCTTGTGTGCACCTGTGTACAGTATCTGGTGAGTTTTTGAGGAATGTCCATTGAAAACAGGGGTGAGAAAAGATAGGTGGCCTTAATGAGGCTTTTAAAAGTGTCATTACACAACGTGAATGTTCAGCTGCTGACAGATGAGACGTTACTGATTGTTCCCAAAAGTCAACCACAAAATGAAATGACTTTTAGATCATTCTGACATGTTATCATAGGACATTATTAAAAATATCATCGGTAGGTTACGGGTGGCTTTTTTAACTTTAGCATGTGGCCAAGTAAAATAAAATCTGAACGAATGTCTAATATCGTATGTGAATTTAATTTAGTGAGCAGTTAAGATACAGAAATGATATGATATTCAAACAATTACGAACCACGCCAGAAACCACACAATCATTATCTTTTCTCTCAGATTCATTAAAACTGCTGCTTCATGGAATTATTCAATGCCAACTGCCATTTATGTACAATTCAACTTTGAGTACCAGAAACCACATGGACTATAGTTACCCTGTGAACAGTTAGGTAAAACGATACTGTAACTGTTTTAAAAAACATAAAATTACCTTTCATTATGGGAAACTGCAACCTTCAGAGTCTGGTCAGAAACTGTTTTAAGGAAACATCTAATTACTCTCAAAGCAATCACCTTTGTGAACAAACGGAACTTATTTCCACACACTTGTGATGAAATTAGTCATGAAACTGCTCTTTAAAAGTGTGATCAAATCATTATACTATGGCATACCTTTTCCAGTCTTCTACCTTTGTGGGCAGCTGAGACCGTGAGTCCAGAACCTGGGTTTTGTTTTTAAACTCTACAACACACAGTCATCGATAACTTTGGAAGAGGGTTAATAAAAAGAACATGTGAGTGCTGAGTCTGTACAGGACACCCTCCACTTCAAACACTGATCCGGGGCCAAAAATGTGCGCCTCCATTCGAGTAATCATGAGCAGCTCTACAATACCTCACACAAAGTACAGCAATAACATCGCTAAGTCTCTTTGCATGTATGTCACGTAATGAGAAGCTGGCAGACAATGAGCTTCCTTCAAAGCGCAGTGATTAGAATATAAATGTAAGCCATTATGAGAAAGGATAGCCGAGGAGGAAAGATTTAGCTAAAAAAGAAACTTGGAAGTGTTCAATGAGCAGCCTGGCGTCTTCGCAGCACTCCCACACTCCAATTTCTTTCAATACATACGCTTGCCTTATAAGTAAGCAGAACATTTGAATGGTATCAAGCTGCAGAAGGGAACCACAGACCCACTGTGTGGAGGACACAGACCCCGTTCCTGTGTCTGAACCAGGACTCTGAGAGAGAGAGAAGTAAAAACTTAAGTAACTCTGAGGTCTGCTGGAAGTGTTTCTCCGGGGGCCTCTCCCTCACATAAACCACAGCAATTATCTTCCACAGCCCCAGGAATGTGCAGGAAGGGCTGCTCCCTGACCACTGCCAAGGTGAGAAGCACTCTGAGGTCTGGGTGGCAGCACCAACACAAGCCAACTGACTCTTACTTAGACATGAAACCCCCCTTATCTATGAAAATCCATGAAATCAACTCAACAGCTTCCCTTCTACAAAACTGTTCACTCTCCTTGCACTCACCACTCTGCCCCCTTTGGTTTCATTTACAATTTGGAATTCATTAAAACTGGGTCAGCCAAACTGTCTGTCAGTGTGCAACATTTATTTTACCAGGACTTCGGGATAGGGGCCAAATCTCCATCCTATACAGTGCAACTTAGAGCCTCTTATCTGTTTATGCTCTGCTTTAGCTGGGAACAGCACTCAGGTCTGAAATGTGCCTCCCTGTGCCCACGTGAGCTGGACGTGCTTTACTGCAAAGTCCGGAAAAGACTTATATCATGTAGATTCTTGTTCATGTGTGTCACTTTATTTATAGTAAATGATTTGAATTTCCAACACTGTCCGCACTGGATTCTGGGAGCATATGGGCAGACACACAGACGGGACTCAACACTGACCTGTGAATTCACAGTTTGGTCATTATTGATAGTGAGTCATCACATAAATGAAGGAATAATTTCGTCAGAGAGAACAGAAACTATTTGGACCAGCCTGAGACATAAATTTTTAATGTAATGTTTAATATAGGATCAGACCTCATTATGTCACTTACTGAAGTAAACATTTAAGTAGAATTTTTTTTTTAGATTTTTTTGGCCACTTGGGGGCAGTTCAGCCAAACACAGCATTGGAATATTAGGTAGTTAATGGTAAACATGTTATATTAGATGCCTATCTACGCATCCAGCAGAACCGGAGAAACATTAGCATTAATTTTGAGTTGTGTTTCTGGCCATTAGACAAATTTAAGTCCAACATTCAGTCTCCTTTTCACTCTTTAGTCTCTACTGCAAAACTTTTTGCTGTAAACAGTTGTCTACTGTAGCTGGAAACAAGGTTGATAAGAGCTGTGAGAGTGAAGCAAACCTGTAAAGTTACAGGCTGTAAAACCAAAACAATGTGCTGAAAGACTATATGAAGCACTGCAGAGAAAAGGGGACTGCAGAGATGGGGGAAGACTTACCATGAAGAGCGTTAACATTACACATGTTAATTAACTAATTGTTAATTAAAAAATACTGATTAGTGGAACATTATAAAGAACTGTCCTTTCTGATACGTTTCAGAATAATTCAGAAAGTTCATTTAAAGTAAACAGTGGAAAATTAAAAGCTGACTGATTTCCTTTCGGTACTGACATTACTGCATCCCTGCCTCTCATTCAGAGTCTGCCTGCCATAAAAAGTTTATTACTCAGGTCAATTAAACAGCTCTTACTGTATATAAACTGGATAAGACATGTTCATGGTTTACATATTATTTGTTATTCAGCTAATCACCCAGACCATTAGAGCCAGACAAACTGCCTCTGCCAGACCAATTCCAGTCACCGAGCTGACTGCCAGACTTACATTGAGCCCCA